AATGCAAATGGCTTAGGAAGTTACACGGACTGTGTCTGACAGGATGTATGTACGCACACAAAGCAGTTAGAGGATTTTTAGTTATGATTTACAGTAAATCCACATACTGGATTTTCAAATCCCCAGCTTCATGTAATGGAGATAGTAGCAAAACGTAAGAGGATTAGTAGAAGGTCATCCTAATTTCCTGAATACAGCCTAACATAACACCTTCAAAACTGTTATATACAGTTGTACACGTTAAAAATCTCATCACTGTAGAAAACATGAAATACAAGATAAACTCACTCCTAAACTGCAAACACAAGATTAAATTTTAGATCAACAGTGTTATAATAATACATTTAAATCTAAAACTTGACAGTGGGATAGGTAAACGACTACAGTAGGAGCACTTTTTAAAAACAGTGGCAGAAAAAATTAACAAGACCTCATCACAAAACCAGACTGAGTCCAACTTTGACAACCTCTTTTGTCAAGGAGGGAAATGAGCCCTTTCTTAGCTGAGTATACACCACAGCGTGCTTATGCTGCCAGGGTTTTTTAAACTTTACTTTTTTTTTTTTTTTAAAGACTGCTGACTTAAATATTTAAGGTCAGTAATCCAGACATGATTTTCAACTGTCAGGTTTGATACGTTACCTGGGAGAACACACTGTATCAACATTCATTTATGCATGCACTTAGGTTTGGATTTTTTTCCTTAATTGTTATAACATTAGCGTAGAATAACTGATTTGCTCTTTATGTCTAGCTCTATTTGTACCAAAACTACAACTCAATTTTACACATATGAAAAATTTTGAAATTACTTCTTAAACCACAGTAATATGTTAGATACTTTATTAAGGAAGTGTTCCTGTCTAAGAACATTTTTTTATTTAAAGCTGATTACGCAGAGAAAGTATTTACCCACGTTGAAAGAACTGAACAGCTCATTTCTTGTCACTGTGCCCTTCAAAAGTTTTAGAACAGCAGGTTTCAGGTTAGATGTCTGATTTGGATATGCAGACTGGAAACTAAGAAACCCAAACCATCGTCAAATGACAATCATATGAAAGTGCAATGAAGGTAATCTCTACGCTTGCAAACATATGGTTGCTGAGAAGTGCTAGTTTAGCGTTTAAAACCGCACTCGATTTTCCATTTAGGAAGTGTATATTTTAATCACCACTTATCAGGCCTTCTTTAAACTTCTATAGCAAACATTATTTTAAAATAGAAATTAATAAAGCTGTGGCCATTTGACTCAGATTCATATAGACTATATTTCTCTAAACTATTAGCAAGTGGCCATGCTTTAAGTGTGGCTCTTGCAGCTTTTCCTGTGATTTTGATGTCTGTCAGCACAGAAACAACTCACAGTTTCACTGTGTTAAGCAATGAAAATAGTTTTTAGAAACAACTCATGTTTGTGATACATGGGGAGGAAAAACAAGTTGACTTTTTTTACTTTGCCTTCAATTTAATTTCTTAACAAGCATAAACAAACTGCCAAGATGCTCATAGATGCTAAACACCTCTGTTTATATTGTAAAAACTTTAACTACAGTATTTATTGTATTTTATTTATTTCTACATTGTTTTCTGGGTGTGGAGGAGGAAGGATGAGAAAAAGGTAGGTTCTAGCATTGTACTTCTTGAAACATTACATTTCTTTCTCCTTCCTCTAGTACAGAACTAGAAAATGCTGAGGGGAAAAGAGCAAGGCTTTATGAAACAATGCAATGAAAAAAAGCAAGTCCTTGATAGAATCAGTCTCTTCCTTCCTTTCTGAAGTTGACTGATAATAGTGTTTCAAAAGAAAAAAAAAGCAGGCTCAGTTTAACTAGGGTGGCCATTGAACTGAAAGCTCCATTGGTTTCTCTCATTTCTTCCTAGTATGCTGTGTCTTTAAAGGCATTTATTACTAAACTTTCTTACTACTTCGTGGAGGTAACAATAGCTTCCCAAGAAAGTGGGACTGACATGGATATGTAAAAGATGTCCTACACTTAAGACTTTACACTACTGATGCAATTAAGGAATTACTAGGGATTATTAAAGAAAAAACAACAAACAAAGCACCACAACAGTTAAGATTACTGTAGAAAACAGATACTGTTAAGGTTCCCATCATCAATACCACACATCTTTTACACACCTTTTAAGGCTAGACCTTCTGTTCTTCCAAACTCATGGACAGGACATGCTCTTAATATTGCTTTGCATCTATGCCTCAAACAGCCAGATGTTTAGAATCTGATACCTTTCTCTTTCACTGACTTGTACCAGTTTTATAAATTAACGCTGCCCAAGTATTTAAAGTAGAGAACTTTATAGCCCAGTCTTTAGCACTGTTCTGTTATGTTAAACAAGTGAATGTCTCAAAAAGTTACCCATAGTGGTAAGGAGAAAGCAAACGGGTACTGTGTGCAGAAGTGCTGAATGATGACAGTGTATTTACAGAATGTCTGTGAAGAGACCAAGACAGTGCCAAAATGCATGTGATCTGTTTTGTAAAAAACCAGCCTAGCCTTCAAAACTGGGACAACTCCAAGAAACAAGACTCCAAACTACATTGCGACTTAAGATATATTATTATGACATTCACTGAAATGTACCAAGAAAAACAGAAAAGGCTTTAAATTAATTCCTTATATAAAAGTTGTCAATGTGTACGAGTTAATCCTCAAACTCAGTTTTAGGACAAAAACAAAGTCTATGGGCAAATTGTGCTTAAGTACTTGAACTGTGCAACTAGAAATTTATAGCTGATAGAATTATGTTTAAACAAGTCATTCCTTTGGACACAAAAATACAACTCCATTTTGATAATACAAATTTACTTCTGTGAAGAAGAGTGGGTTCTATACAGAACAAAACAACCCTCCCACACATGCTTTACATTTTAATGTAGATTATATCGCAGTATTAAAATACTATATCCACTTACCATCATCTAGTGTGATGTCTTGTAGTCCTATTGTCTGAAAATTCAGTTCTCGATCTTCAGGTTCTGGTTTAATGTTAACAGCTGCCCCGTCTGGTGAAAATGGAGATGAATCGCATACAGAATGGTGTACTACGGATGACGCTGCATTAAGACCTCCCAACACTGGACTATGTGCTTGAGGGGAGTGCTGTCCAGAGTGACTTACAGCAGTTGGCGGGGGAGATGAGGCAGGTACTGAGCTAGGAGACTGGTAAGGCATAGGTTGCAGCTGAGGTGAAGAAGGTCCAGACAGTGGCGAATGGACTAAAGGGTGGGAAGCTGTTGGAGATGGGGATGAAGCGGATGCTGGATTTGCAGAATGGTATGGGACTTGCTGCAGCTGGGGAGAAGACTGCCTGAGGGACCGACTCATTGCAGAAGGGATGGAGCCCTGCCCAGCGCTTGGGCAGTGGTATCTCACAGATGGTAGGTGAGAAGATGACTGTCCTGAATGAGCTGGGTGTGCTAGCGGGTGCCCTGCTGTACTGGATGCTGACACAGAACCTGGAGTTGAAGAATGAAACTGCATTGGTGGTAAAGCTTGGCAGCTAAGATTTATCAAATGAGGTACAGCTGTGTCTTGCTGAAATGAAATAGGATCAAATCCTTGGCTGGAGGCAGAGTTCATAGGAAGACCAGACTGTCCATTGTATACATTGTTAGACTGCATAGGCTGGTAAGAAGGCCTCACAGGAGGTGCTGACGCTAACTGAAAAGACTGAACCACAGCAGGAGGCAAAACGTGACACTCTTCACTTGGACTAAGGTTTCTACCTTGCATATGTGGCAGGTGGGATACTGCTGAGGTCACCATTGCAGTGTATGGAGGTTGAACTGGACACACGAGGCTCCTGGGTGATGTAGACAGTAAATTGTCACGTGGATGCCCTTGCTCTGGTGAAGGCAATTGAGTTTGGATAGAATGCAGGCCCTGGACGTTGCTTGTGTGAGGCAGGGCCAAAGATGGAACAGCAGACAAATCCACCTCATCTCTGTGCTCTTGCTTCATTATAACTAGAAAGAGTAAAACACTGTATTACAATTCCTATACACACTAATGGCTGTTTAACAGCCACACCACTATTGTTAATGTCTTTGCTTCAATTTCCCTTCTCTTGCTCTGCTTTGATTTTTTGTTTTACTTAACCCCTAAAAGCCAGAAGAACTCTCCTAGCATTTATTCATAGGCAGTTACCTTCCCTTCTGAAATACCTTCCTATGCAATGTACGTTTTTAAAAGACATTTGCAACTTCAGCCAGAGAAGGTCCAGTACATCCAAAGGATACAGCCCACAGATGTGTACAGGGAGGGCTGCTGCTGGGCTCAACTGCAAATAGGCAGACGAGAATTCAGTATCAGGCACTAGGAAAAGGTGAATGAAATTTTTAGCTGCCTTCAAACTTTCCTTAGCCTGCGATCAAGATGACAGGTGAACCTTGGCAACACAGTTAAACTGGTTTCCCCAGGGTGTGTTGTTTTAATTAGAGCAGCTCTTTCAGCATATCCCTCAATTTCAAAGATGACAACAACTGTTCTAATAATACAAGAAGTTACAAATCGGCACACTTTCCGGTACAAGATTTTAATTTTTAAGCTTTTGAAAAGATACTTATTTCTACAAACAGTAGAAAAATGCTAACGCTTAACTATTTGATTACTACTTTATATAATATACTGCTAAAGCAACTGCTACATATATTTATAGATAAAATGGATTTTAAAAGTTTGTGCAGTAACAGCTGCAGTAACAACTAAAATTGCTTCCTATTCAAGCAGTAACTGTCATTACTTCATTCCATAATTAAAATAACTTAAATATGGATTTCTCAAACAAACAGTTTAAGATGTGTCTTGTAACTACCTTCGGAGGTGATAATCTTAAGAATGGTTACAAATGCCACAGATCTGCTAACACAATAGTGTATCAGATACCAACATAACATTGCTTAAATTGCACATGAAAGTATGAAGTAGGAAGTTTTAGAGCGTAAGTGAGCGAAGCTCATTTTAAGTAGTGTAAACTAATGGTAGTTGGCTTTGTCAGCATACACATTAGCTTTAAGAAGTTTATATTGTTATCAATATCTGACTTTAAAGACTCCTTCAGGTACCTGACTTCAAGTCCTCCCAACAGTACTAAAGAGTCTAGTGCCATCCCTGGTACATTGTCAGTTCCAGCTACTCTAAAAGGGAATGAATTTCTTAAAAGGAAAAGAAGAAAGTGGCAGGCCAAGGAGCGGGCAGTGCATACCTAGTAGTACACACTTCCTTTTATCAATGGAAGGGATTAAGATGTTTTAACCATATGTACAGTTCTTGCTTCTGGCTAAGTTACAAACTATTTTCTATCAATACACTGCAATGTGTCCAGAAGGGGAAAAGTATCTTTTTCATCTGCCTTATATCTAAACCGGGAGGTGTTTTTGACATCTGGGGGGCGGGCAGGAAGAAAGGCGTAAAACCCGCTCTTCTATGATCTCATTATCATCCACGTCATCGCTAGTGTTATTTAGAAGAGCAGCTTCTGAGACGCACCATTATTTTCAAAGGAAAGCAGAATGCAAGTTATTCTATAAAAAGTGTAATGAATGAATACCTGGCTGTAATCATAGCACTGGAGCTTATTACTCTCAATGTCAACTTTTTAATTTGACAAGCTTAACTAAGTTGTTTGACAAACAATCCAAAGCTGGTCTTATCTACCTGTCAAAGGTGTAAGAGTGTCTGAATTACTTCCGAATGTCTACTTTAAAAAACAAAATAAAATGCATTTTAAAAATGTTAATACCTGGTGTATAAGTAAAACGTTGAGACTGGCTTTTTTTCCTTTTGCCATTGCAGAGATAAAACTGCACGTGAACTGCAGCTGTAATGGTTTTGTTATGGTATGGAGGAACTTCAAGTATGATGTTTGCCTGTGTGACAGTTGAAACAAACGTTTGACATATCAAATGCAAATGAAAAACCCAAAACACTTGTTGCAAAACTAAAGCAAACTGATATTTTGAAACTGCTAGATTTCAAGTTTATGACTATTACATAGCAAAACAGTACTATAAGCAAACTTTTATTTGGGGACTTTTGTTGTTTGTTGTGTTTTTTTTGTTTTTTTAAAAAAACCAAATCTTCTGAGGGTAATACTTTTAATTAAATGGACACATGGTCTAAGGGATGCTTGATCAATCTGCCAGAACATTAAAAAAAAACTTTAGCAAAGAATTGCATTTTGGATTATTAAGCTCCTAGGAAAAAGAATTAATGCATGAGAAATTATTTGTGACCTTATAAAATTTTCTTCAGTTTTCTTTTTGCAATTTCTTTTTTCACTGCTTTCACAGCAACAAGCAAGCTATTTCTAGTTCCTTCAAAGCATCATCTTAATGGCTACTTTATAGTATTAAGCCAATTTAGAAGTCTCCAGTTGTCTGTCTGAATCAGCCAGTGTTCTACTTACTTTACTAAATGAAGTCTGAATTTCAGAACAACAATGAAGATGTCTACTTTCTAGAAAGCTTTCTAAAGAAAGAAAAACTGTTTCTCACCCCTTGACACTTTTCTCTAATGATCTTCCCTTCTACCTCCCACTGAGGTCGTCCATCTGTTGAGAGAAGTTTACAAGTAATTCAAGTAAAAAGCATTTTCTAAAACTTTAAATACTTCATCTCAAAAATTCTTTCATACATAATACAAAACTGCATTTATTTTCAGTCTTATGACTGAGGCCATCCAGCTGACAGCTACATTGTAAACAAAGTGTAAAGTATAGAGATGGTTTAAGAAGTTCAACACTACAAGCATGGTCCATAAGTTGACTGTTGTGCAGGATTCTGCATTTTAGGAGAATCTGCTGATTACATGCAGTTAGATTTCATTCCAAATGTGCCAGCATGTACTATAAGTGTACCGAGGGATTTAATTTTTTTTGTCCCCCGTTTTTTTTTTTTAAAACATTTTTGAAAGGTAGTTAAATTACTACCAACACTTGTGATTATTCAAACAAACGCCGATGACTTACAGGTGAAGTCACCACGTGAGAGATAATGTACACCATATCTTCGTGCCCATACCCACAGGTTATACATTTAAAACAGGCACCCTCCCCTGAACCAAAAGACTTTGTAGTTCAAATGCCGGGCAAGTTGTCTGGGTTGCAAGGGAAGTAAATCACTGTGGTGAACCTCTGTCTGCTCTGACCCACGATAACCCATTATCCTGAATCTAATATGCCGCTCTGTTACTGGGTTTTGTACAGGTTATTGGGTAACCTATTGTCTTGCAGCAGTATCTCTTTAAAAGGCATAAACCCCCACTCATGTTGTATTTGGTAATCAAAAACCTCAACTCTTTTACTTAAATATTTAAGGAAATAATAAGATGGAGAAGAATCAGACTTGGTTGCAGACTTTTATTGTTAATTATTTACTCCTGCTATGGTTTTCCCAAAAGTTCAAATCAGGCATTCAAGTCACAGCAATGATAATTTAAGTTGCTCAAATTTTATGCTCTCTATATTAAAGGGAGAATAAAGAAAGAAAAGGAACTGCACGTATTAACACAGTCCTAAATTTTCAACTATTTTTCATGCACTTTAGTCTAAGTAAGAAGCATTAAGATCATGATGTATATCCAGAAGTGCTACAGAACCAGGAGGGAGTACGGAGTAACCGAATGTCTTTGAGTAATACGTATGTAGGTACCGTAAGCACACGTGCATGTGCTGCATACACCTGTATACGCCACAAGACTTGCAAAACATTCCCCATATGTGGTTGTAGTAAACTGAAAATTAAAAGTATTTTATAGGGGTTTTTTTTGTGTTAAATTCTCTAGTTTATGGAGTTGGAAACTGTACTTACATTTAAAGAAAGGTGTTTTAGAAATATTAATCCAAAATCTACAAGTTTCTTGCTTACTTAGCGATTCTATTTCCTATATATCATACTGAAAAATTTAATCTACTATGCTCTGAAATATTTCTTTTTCATTTCATGAGATCAGTAGGAAGCAGTTAAAACTTTTCTATAGGATTCACAGCACAAAGGAAACTGTGTCTTCAGTACACCTTAACTGAAATGCAGCCCTGCGATATAATTGAACTTCACTTTGTTAACTTGCAAGTACAAGCCTGGTGCAGTTCTCACCCGTGCCTAAGTGCTGGCTAGAACACTGAATATGGGTTCTAGAGAAGGAGAATCATGTCATACAACTGACTAAAACATTCCTCATTTCTTGGCCAACACTTGTTTAATTTCTTTTTTAAACACTTGACCGGCTTGTCCAGCACACAGATGTTTCATACACACACAAAAGGTCACCGTTTTTCATACCACTGGCTATTGCCAGTATTTTACCTGCCTGTGTGCTTGCCTGCTTACAGATGCACACAAGGCACAGACACAGGTGAAGCATGTATTGCACACCTAATCTGAACCAGATCTTGAGACTTTTTAAAAAATTCCTCCCTTAAGAGTAACTCCTACAGAAAATCTGATGCAACTGTACTGAAAAAATTAGTCAGGTTTTCTAGCTAATATTTATTTCATTTCATTAGCTTTTGGAGTAAGTCAGCTGCAATGCAACGGCTAAGCTAGCTGCAACATGACATCAATGACAAAGAGTACATTTCCACTAGTTCCAAGTTTCATTTTTTTAAGGTTTCTTTATAATAATGAGGAGAATGATCCGTCAACGATTTCTTTCAAATATACATCATTCAAAGTTAGATAGCCTGGAACTGTCTTAATTGTCTTCCTGAATCAGAAATACTATTTCATTAATAATTGCCAACCAGCACATAGAGCAGGGCCCAAACTGAAGTTTCAGATTACTACTCGTGACTTAACTTTTTCTTGTTTAGTTTTGTTTGGGGTTTTTTTTGTTAACAAATCCTTACTTCCTAAAAATCAAGCTCAGGTAGTATTTTTTGTTTTCTCTTCAATAATAATAATACTAAAAAAGTAACATAGTATTTACCTTGTCCTTTTTCAAAAAATATAATTTTTGATTCTGGAAGAAAGTTGGATCCTGTCACCACCATTTCATGGCCTCCATTTACAGAGCAACTATTGATGCTGTACTTCTCAATCTGAGGAAGTTCTTGGGCAGATCGCTGAGCTTTAAAAAAAACAACAAAACCAACAACATTATTCACAATTTTAACCACAATGACATTTCTTTTATGATCCTAACCTGAAGAATCAGGGGTGGAACTAAAACAACCATCTGTTTACACATGTAGATCATATTTGTGTATGATTTTACCTTTGTTTTTAAAACTACATTGAAATTATATAGCTATAGAAAAGAAACACCAAGAAGCCATGAATCCCAACAGTCTCTACTTTTACACCAAATTAAACCTTTAGCTTAGGAATACTGGTTTAAAAACTACTTCAGCATTTTATAGACAAAATTAATTCTAGCAGAAATTCAGATTGTTTAGGGTCATGTATTGATTCTTTAGGGACAGCATTTAACAAATGAACTCTCTAGAAGTTCAGCTGTTCATTAAGTAATACCGTATAAAGACAAGTAATGGTACAGGCTCTTGTAAATGAAGTGGTATTAGTTCTTCCCAAAATTAATATTTATTTTCACTGGGATATATTGGCTGCTTCTGCTCATATACAGGAACTACTAAAACTGCTAAACTGTGTGACTGCAGTATCAGGTAATTGTACCATCTTTAAATAACGATATATTAATTTTTGATTATTTAGGTATTTACACACAACATTTTTTATACACACTTGTTATATATAGTTCTGACAATAAACACTGTCAGAATGGCAATTCTACTGACATGTGCAGAAAACATGAGTATAAATTACGTATAGTTAAAGCAATCTTACAGCATTCAACAGGTATGGAAGCAGTCTGCAGAGATAAGACTTTTCCACTAGGCTGTGGGATGTGAACACGAAACACAAGTCGCACTCTGGTGTTCTTTCTTCCAATATCTGTCTCTCCTTTACGGAGCTCTATATCTGAATTGCGAAGTTTCAAAATACCAGCACAGTCGATACTGGAGATAGGTAAGGATGGACGGATTAGAAAAGAAATGGAAGAAAATGAATCAAACTATTGCCAAAGAGTATTGCCTCTGTAAGTCTGTCTTGTGTTAAAGAATGAAGAGCATTCTATTTTTCACTGTGTTATCCTATTTTAAGTGTCTGAGATTAAAAGATCTGTGTGTCAAAAATGGCAGCAAATATGCTGTTGAAACATTTTGTCTCGTAAATGCCTAGCTGCTGCTTTTTTGAAATCTTTTAAAGATTACAAGTTATTACACATTTTTGAACCTTTGAAGTAAGTTATTTAACATTGTAAACGTCATTTACAAGGTGCAAAAGATCTATATTTAGTTCTGCCTTAGGAAGGACTAGAGAATGACAGAAGTGTAGCCATCAAATCCCAGATACCATTCCACATACTTATTGATTATTCATGAGACGCATTCTTTAATCAAGTAACATGTATACATAAGCTTGTGAGGAATGCTATCTTGCATGTCATCACGGGTTGAGAGCATTCATTGAAACTCGCACAGAGTCTGTAACTAGGAAAATCTAAGCTGACTTCAGAAGTCTACATAAGTAGTAAACGTGCTATATCATAAACAAATAACTGTGCTTTACTCTGTTCACTGGCCCTCCAAGCTGCAACAGAGCAATTTAACTGTTGCTATAAAAAACACAAACCAACAGAAACCCCAAACAAACAAAACCACCAAACAAAAAAACCCAAACCAAAAAACCACACAGAAAACATACATAGCAACTGAAAAAAAATGAACCAGAAAACAGACAGCGACTAAATAGCCAATTTATGCTGCAGCGTACCTGGCTGTCATATTATTTTCAGGAAGAAGTGGTATTTCCAAGACTTTTGTGCTGGCAATTATTATCTCTTGACTGGCTGTTGCAACTGTTTTTCCAGTGATTCGGTGTACCTGGTAGAATGCATGAGGTCTTAAGTAGCGATCATCCGCTGTTCCGATGAAGATTTGTAGGTTTACTGGTTTTTCACTGTAGCCCAGGAGCTGATGAAAAAGGAGACGTAACACTAAAATAAATAGTTGGCTTTTATATATGCACACACATTTGTGTGTGCATCATATAAATACACAACTAGTACAAAGGCTTAAGAGTCAAAGAATGGAATGTAATTAAAATCTTCAGTATTCAGAAGTCAGAAAACAAGTAGATATCTGTTCTCCAATAAAATACTGGCAACAACATTTACCAGAACAAAAGGATATTAAAATATCTTTACAACTTTTGAATCTCTCAAAGAAAATAATTATTTTTATCTACAGATTTCTACATCAAAGCTATGCTATAGGTGCATTTCTGATACTGCTTTTAGTCAAAGCTAAATTATCCATTTTACTAAGATACACCTATTTTGTAGAAATACTAAAAGTATTTTAAGGTTCAGTTTTTTTACTAAGGAACATAATGGTGAGTTTATGAAATTTGAGAGGTTTTGTGAATGCAAGTGTATCATATTAGGACAACGAAAATTTAATTCAGAGCTAGAAAATAAAGTGTATTTAATTTTTGGCAAAGAAAATGTTTTTAAAACCAGAATTTGGTAACTGTTAATAAATTCATGCATCTTTCCTGTTCTTAAATACAAGACTAACCACCAATGCACTCAGTTGTCATAAAACCACCTGTTCCTTGAGCTAACAGTTGTAATTCTAGGGAAAAAACATATTGAAACATCAGGAAAAAGGAAACTTAAAGAAGCAAATTCTAAAAGAACAAGTTAGTTTTATGATATAGCACCTTGGTAACGTTATCCAGAAGATTTAAGGAAACAAATTTAACCAACAGTAACATCCAAGTTTCCTTTAGCCACTACAATTTTAAATCCTATAAAACATGCCTTATAAATCCATGAAGTTTACCTCACCTGCCTGCAATTGGCAGAGCGATGCACACTGCAAGTCACAATTTCTAAAAAGCAATGCAGCAAATTTACATTTCATCAACTTCAACATCAACTTCTGTTCAAATGGGAGGGCCAGACAGCTATTCTTTAAATGTGGTTTTGTCATGTAAATATTTTTGTCTCTAAAAAACTTAAAACCCAAGTCATGTCAGTTTAACCTACTTACAATAGCAATTTCACACCAGCAGTCAGCAGTACAGAAAACCAAAGCACACGCACACCCAGAAACGAGCAGCACCATTGCAGAGCCCTTGTATCTTGATGCACAACTACTGGCAGTGTTACATACACCGAGTGAACACCTGTTTTCTATAGTCCAGGCAAGGCCATGACACACCTACCTGTCCTGTCACTTTATTAGAGCTTTCCCAATCAAGAAGAGAAATCTGGTTTCCACCAGAAGTCTGGAACTTTAAAGATCCAGTCTCAAAGCTTTCAGCCTTACATGAATGCTTTTCTCCAAGATGTAATATTTGTTAATTAACCTATCTAGACACAACAGTGTTGTCCTGTTTTGGTTACTGTTCTTCCCATTTGCCCCATGAGGTTAAAAGTGATCAAGCAGCAGAACAGCCAAAATCTAGACCAACCAGACAAATAAAACTAAGCTTACTCAAATGAACCCAAAACAACTGAGGCTTGTTTTTCACCTCTTCCTATCCAGCACCTGCGCAAACTGAAATAATTCCTGAAAGAGACATCTAACGGCATATAACCGTTCCTTACCAACAACACACACATCTTCAGCAGCTGACACAAAAGGCTGATAGATCAAATACGTTATTTGTTACAATCTCAGCATTATGAGATTGCCCTCAAGAGAAAATGCCCATTCTACTTTTCTGTTTCATTGGGTTTTGTTTGTTTGTTTTGGCTTTAAATGAATGATTAGAAAAGAAAGGAAGAGTTACTGCCCCTGCTGCTTTTCTGGGCTGTGAGATCTCTGGGTAGCTACTGCATTAAGGCGGCTGTGCTGCTTTTCATGGTTGGAGACAAAGAATTATGTTGTCCTCAAATCTCCTTGTACCTTTCCTGGGAGGTGCACAACGTCTCCCTGCTGTTGTGACTTTAAGAGGCCAGCCCTGTTCAACTATTACCATAAAGTGTAGACTACGTTTGTACTACATTGTACATAGATTACAAACGAGCTTGGGCTAAAATACTCCCCACCTGATTCCTGCTACCACTGAGAATTCATGCATGCACAGAAAAGGAGAACAAACCAACTTGATATCAGTAAGTCAAAAAGTCTCATCTCACCACGGGTTTAACAGTCGTTACCCCTTCAGAACCTCATTATAATGAAAATAATTATCTGCCACAAAAAGCCAAAACAGTCTTTAAAACTCACAAAGGTTTTTACAAAATAAAATGTCCTGTCCTATAACTAACGTATTTCCAGCTAATTTCTTACATGATCTCATCTATTTGCAAATTTATGTCTATTATTCACAGGCTTTTACTCGGTCAAATATGCATAATATTTTTGTTCTCACTGGGGTTCTCAGTACAAATAGACCTAAATCCAGAAAAAAACCCCAACAAAACAAACTCAACAAACCTTGATGCAAGACTCCAACATCTTTCCAAAAGGTATTTGGTTTTAAATGCCAAATGAATGTTTTCCAAATCTTTGCTGAGTATGAATTCTTTTATGAGCTTAAAGAAAATTTAAGGACATTATTAGTTTAGCATTTACAGCATCCATTTCCTCCCAAGTTCTCAACACTGTGACTCCACCATCCATTTTCCTCAGAGTTAAAATTAAACCTTAACACAATGGAATACAGCCTAAATGTGACGTCTGTTGAACATGTTCACTGTAATACTGGGAATTACATAAATTACAAGCCAGACCTATTTAAAAATTTGAGTAACTTCCAATTGGGGTCACTGTGACAAAGCTAATTTCCAATTAACGCTATCTTCCCCTTACCTCAACAATGGACACTTACACAACAGCTCAGAGATACCAGTGAGAGGAGAGGGAGAAGGTTGGGGGGGAAGGGAGGGAGGCTACTCATAAAACTAAGGCAGTCTGTCTACAGCCAGGCGAGAAACTCTCCTCTACAGAGAGGAGCTTAATTCAGTGAAGCAAATTCTACCCACTGCCAGCAGTTGCAATGGTATTGCCGATGAGGCACTGTACCCTCGTACTACATCTGAATTGCTAAAAGCTGTGTCTAACAATAGTTTTTCCTCCATTATTCTATTATTCACCCTCTGTGCTTGCCCAGATACGCTATAAAGACATGTAAGGCCTGGTTTCTGCAAAGCATGTTGTGGGAGGGGAAAGTGGTGGGCAAGTCTGATAGAAAACACCCACCCTACCAACAGTTAGTTATCAGGTTAGCAATCAAGTGCATTTTCTGTATGATGCTCTTGTGATACAAGCTTGTGTGCTTTGTGACTGTCTCACATCACTACAGTACACTGGCTACACCAAAGTAGAAATTTGAAACTATGTTACTACAGCGTAAATAGAAGCAATAAAACCCCACAGAGTTGTACCATCTTTAGTCACTTTCCTTCTGGTTCATATATTAAAGTAAATTAAAATAAACAAGAAATCCAACTTTCCAAGGAAACTACTACTTTATAATGCAACAGAACACACTTTGACAGTAATTTAGAAGAAACCTATGCATGTTAAAATATAGAAACATATAAATAAGGCATCTCATGATTAAAAATGGTCTATTGTAGTATCAGCACAAACCCCTGAAAATGTCATGCATAGTTAGAAGCCATGATAGCATAAAACAGTCTCAAGACAAATAAACAAGCCACCAAGGCCCTCCACACTGAACTGTCAACTGGATGCTTACACTGTGGCATTGTCTCAAATAAATTGCTGTAAAGGATCTGCAATGAAGTCTGTTAAAGGTACTGGAATACATACACGCACACACACACGTATACGTATGTCTGTATATATACATACACGCACACACACACCCCCCCCCTTTCCCCCCTCATATGTACATAGGTAGGCAGAGCAGTAACATATTGGCAAGACAGCAGAGACCTAACACATTTACTTTGCACTACAGATGATTTAATGAGTGTATTCAATATTTAAAATAGAAAAAGAGAACAGCATAAAAGAAAAATAATGTAAAGCCATAAATATAATCAAAGCGTGCAGGCAAGTGTGGCAATAAAGTAAATGCGGATGGGGAAGAAAAGAACAACCCCGTCTGCCACCTTATAGGGGGTGATTCAGAGCCTGATCACAGTAATGGAGACTGCATCAAAAGGAAGAATATCACAGTCTTAAGCAAGCAGCGAGTAGGTTGCACAGTGTCCTCGTGTTTCCAACAGCCGTAATTACAACAGCACCACCACGACAGTAAGGCTGTGCATAGGCTATGGGTGCTCATAAGACAGCCTTATGCACCAGCATATGCACCGCACTTTGAGGCAGCTGGAGAAACTGTCAAAACATGTTGATTAAAAACAACCCAGACAACTGACAAACAACTCTCCAACCTTTATTATACAAATTTGCACTTTAAAATTAACATTTTCCTCTTAAATCCTGTCTAATAAGTGAGCTGACAACTCTAGGCATGACATGGATTCTGCAAGAGTAAAATAGAAAATTTATAGTGTCTGTAATCAAAGAGCCTGTGGGGGCCAGCAAGCCAAGGTAGAAAGTGATCCAATAGCTTGTGTAGAGGATTCCTGCACATCCCATGTAATTTCTATTACAGAATCATTCAAAGCCTTCAGTGAAACTTGCATATTGTGCCTAGTGCCACATAATCAGACAGCTCATTTCATACCAGGACAGTGCTGAATTAGTTCCTTAATTCACCTGATGGTACACACCTACCTTATTTACCTGCAGGTGCGTTCAGCAGTTTGCTGAAGAGTGTGGAAGTATTCTGACGTCCATTCTGTAAATAACCCTGGTGACAGCGAGCCTCGGATGTCTCTCCCTACACAAAACCTTCCAATAGTGAGCAAAGCAGAACCTTCTGCCCACCATGCCTGGACTTCACTGGAGACCAAATTATCACAGAATCTGAACTAACTTTCATCTCTTAGGAATGGTGTCATCTCTCCTCCAAAAGAAAG